GAGGGAGATAAAGGAAAGAGAGGGAGTAAGAGAGAGGAGAGGGGTAGAAAAGTAATTTGGTATTCAAGAATGTCTAGAAAACCTGTTTTCTAAAAGGTGATTAGAAATCAATACTCAATTTTTAAAATGCCTACTCATCCAAATTTTCCAAGAAAAATCGGTATGAAATAGAAAGCAAAACACAAAATGCAGAAGTTATAAGCTAGTTGAAGAGGTACCTAAAGAGGCAAAACACAGATGGTCACAAGAGTGATAATTAATAATGAGATGAAGAATTATATAAATTATACATATAGTTAATTTGAAAAAAATACATTGAAACTTTGACTTAAAAGTATTCATAAATGATTAAATTGATAAATGACATGAATGCGAAAACTCAGAATAGGAAAAGTTGAATATAAAAAAAATTATTAATTTATTTTTAATAGTTAATTCGAAGATTTATGATTTTGTCTTATATTATAATCAATGATGCTTTTACAAATTTTACAAATCATATAGTGTTATGGGCTGAACAAATGAGATTCGGTGAAACAACAAGAGATCGACTCTGGACCGAATGTAAAAAGGCCTAATTGTACACGTCGACCAAGCAAAGGCCGGTAAGCCCAGATCGACTGGGCCGACCTGGGCTCGGCGCCGACCCCTGTTTGGTGTTGAGCAATTCTCGGCCAACGATCGAGAACTCCCATAACCCTAGAGGTAAATCTAATTATCCTACTCTCTATATTCAACTACTCTTATTCTAACTTAAGCATCAAAGCCCTTGTGGCAAAAGCAACACTAGTCTTAGTTCTATTATGTTTTGCAGATCTCGTCGGTCCCTTTTTCTAGAAGATTGGTGTGAATTTGGCTGAATCCCAAGAGGCCAAATTTATGCATAAACAATTGGCTCCGTTTGTAGGAACGATTAGAGATCTAAAATTTATCGACATGAACTCTAGAAGGAGTCCACAACACTCTAACGATGAGTGCCACCCGAGAAGGAGAGCAAATCGAGATGTACCTTTGCCCGAAGGAGTTGAAGGTGAGACAAGCTGACATATCCTTGAACAAATTTAAAGGAAACAAGCCGACAGGTTCCAGGGCAGAAGGAGCAATCAATTGAAGTTCCAGATCAGTAGAAGGACAAATTGGCTGCTTTAAAAGAGAAGGTCGAGGGAATGCACCAGAACATATCCCTACTTCTCCGAAAACTGGAACAACAAGAAGTGACCTGCGCTCGTCCGAGATCCACGAAAGGGTAAAGCTCCTACAGTTGAGGAAGTTGAAGAGTCAACCAATAACGATCAAAGCAAACTAAAGATAGGAGGAAACGACGGACTCCGAACCAACGTTTTTGGTCAATTAGGTCAACAAGCGACTCCATGGCAATAGAGGTCTGTGGTACATAGTAGAAGCGAAAACTGCCAAGGTGATCGAGTAGGCCTCAGACGGACTACCCTCGACAAAAGGAGACCACCTAGCCGAGCAGAGCAGTCAGAGAAGCTATCCGAAGAACAAAGAGACAATAGATTCGACCTTCAGGAGCTGGTGGACCAGGCAGACTCTCCGTTTATAGAGGAGATAATGAGGGAGAAAGTTCTTCCAAAATTCAAGCTCCCAGCCATCAAACAATATGATGGCTCGATGGATCCCATTGATCAGCTTGACGCATACCGAGAATAGATGGATATTTATGGTGTAACGGAGGCTATCAGATGCAGGTGTTCTCTTTCACCCTAACCAGTTCGACTCGTATCTGGCTTTGACAGTTGAAGAGAAAATCAATCTCAAGCTTCAAAGAGCTGGCAAGAGCATTTGTCACCCAATTCTTCAGGGGACGAAATAGGAGCAGACCCTTAGCATACCTCCTATCTATAAAATAAAAGTCGACAAAGAGCCTGAAGGACTATATGGCTCGGTTCAACGAAGAAAAGCTACGAGTTGAATGTCTTACCGATGCAGTATCACTACTAGCCTTCATGTTCGGCATGAAAGACGAACAACTGGTATTATATTTTGGGAAGAAGACCCTGAGTACCTTCTCGAAGGCACTGAGCCGCGCACAGAAGTATATAAGCGCTGGAGAATTAATCCATTCGAAGCGAGACCCTGATGGTAAACATACAGATCACAACACGAAGAGGGAGAGATCTAGAGAAAAGCAACACAGATCGAGATGAGAGAAAGCAAATAGCAAGCAGGACCGGTTAGTTCAATGGGATCCTCAAAGGAAGTTTGAAAATGCACGAGACAATGGTTCCATTTGAACAGGTTCTAATGGAAATAAAAGACTAGGGGCTGCTTAAATGGCCTGAAAAGATGAAAGCACCCTCTAGCAAAAGGAATAAAGGAAGATACTGCCTATTCCATCAAGATCGTGGCCACACAACGTTGGACTGTTTCGATCCCAAAGAAGAAGTAAAGGACCTCATCCGAAGAGATTACCTCAAAGAATATCTGGATGACTCTAAGGTAGCTCCAAATAGTGACCAAGACGACAAGTCCCCTGTCTGAGAGATAAAAACAATACTGAGGGGACATGCTGGAGGAGAATTTGGTAGAAAGAGAAAAACCAACGCCAAGGAAGCTAGGGTAGGCCCAGGTCAGCATGAGATCTACCAAACCTTTTTTGCAGGTCAAGTTTCAAAGATCGAGTTCTACAAGGAGGAAGTGACCAACTTACTCCATCCGCACAACAATGCATTAGTTATCACCTTGAAGATAGCTATTGTAAGAGTTCATAAGATCTTAGTAGATGGGGGCAGCTCAGTACACATAATATCCCTAGCTGCCTATGAAGCTATGGGATTGGGAGACAGGAAATTGAAGAGCAGCCCAGCACCGTTGATTGGATTTGGTGGAAAACGTGTCATCCCATAAAGAAGTGTAGAATTACCTGTAACATTTGGTAGTGGGACGAGAAGCATTACAAAGATGGTGGAGTTCCTCGTTGTCAACTATGCCTTTTCCTATAATGCGATATTATACAGGCCTACTATACATATGCTGAAAGTAATTCCTTCACATATCATCAGGCCATGAAGTTTCCGACACCAGGAAGAATAGGTGAGATCAAAGGAGAACAGCATGTATCGCGGGAATGTTACTATACCTTATTGAGAGGCAACTGGGGAAGCTGATAAGACCCGTATCTCATGACAATATTTAATTCCTATCTTTCACCCTCTAACCATTTGATAAGTTTATATTTTATTTACTAAAGACTACACGTTTGATAGCATAGGTTAGGTTTTTTTTTCTTTTTTATGGCAATTGCATATTTGTTTGAAGTTAGGATAAGTTTTATGTTTCCAAAGAATATTTATTCCTCTTTTTCAATAAAGTTATAGTATTTTTAAATTAATTGTCTTTTTACTTGAGTGGTTATCTTTATTCTAAACATAAGCTCCTTAAGTGGGGGGCTTAGGTGGAACAATCAATAGTAAAAGCTTGTTAAAAAACTCGAACCGGACCAAACAATAAGCAGCCCAACGAGCTAGAAGCCCTTCAGTGAAACCAGGAAGATCAAACCACAACGAAAATTTCTAGAGGTGTTGAAATGGCAAGCAAATGAGCTTAGCAAGGTTAAAACAGAAAGCAGGGGAACAAGCCAAGCCATGCAACAAAACCCAAGGGTACGAAGTCATTGGAAAAAATGCTAAGATAGGTTAGAAATCCATGAGTGTTGAAGGCAAGCAAACCAACCCAGCTAAAGTTAGAGCCCAAGGCCAATAAAGAAACTAACAGTAAAATTAAACTAGATAGTAGTGTCCAAGAGACTTAATTCAAAGCTTCAACGAGAAAAATAATAAACTAGAAATTTGTCCTCGACAATGAAACAATGATATAGAAAAGATGAAATCCAGATCATTAGAGATACGAACAGATTTAAAAAAAAAACA